ACCAATTCTATTTGAATGCTACTTATTGCTATGTATTTATTTGAATGCTAATTGTAAGAAGAACTTTCGATTTCGAGTATTGCAATGTTCAAACGAAATTAATGATGAAGTGCTGACGAAATCTACTGGTGATACCTCGGTGAGGAATATTAACAGCAATGACGTAGTTGTACATAACACTGACTCATAGGTTAATTGGGTACCTGAATTGGATGAAATGAAACAGAGTGGATGGATGTGCCTTATATTAAGTGACACATGAACTTGGTTAGGTTCTGTGAACGAGACGACTAGTCGACAACATTTTCTGCTTGTTTTCTCCTCATGTTTATTTATTGATCTTATGTGAATCATCATGATGCTTTATGATACTGATTAATTTTCGTTTGTTTGCTAATATTCAGAGAATAAATGTAATCCAATTCGTTTGCTCAATCTTTTCAAACGCGAAATCTCATTGTCAGTATTGAATCTCGATGCGTATGGAAAGAACGAAAGCAACAATGAAAATCAGTGGTGTGAACGGATGTGATTAATGATAATCGGATCATTCAGGGAACTTTTTCGAATGAACTGCTTTTTTTCGCACAAATATACGCACACATGCGCTCGTCTGAATTGATGTCTTGACATCTGTTCGTGCATCAATTCTTTCAGAGAGCACTCAGTGCGATCGTTCATGAAATCCAGCATTTCTAGCTTATTGTGAGGGATGGTCATATTCTCGGAAATTATCGATGCCAACGTGAAAAACACACCATTTTGCAGATTTCTTAACTGTTCGAATAATTCGGACTCAAGAGTGAATTAACGATTATGCAATAATTAGAAGATGATCGATACGCAGAAAGGGAAACTTGCATGTTCAACGCTACAGTATTCGGGAATTGATCTATTNTTCCATCGTGTTTTCCTATGTCCAAGATATTTGATCAGTTCAAGTCGGTACGACATAGCTGAGGTTTTCTTGACTGACTGACGAAGAAACATCAGAGAAGTGTATACTCTATGAGAAATTACTATTCATTGAGAAGATTTTATTAAAGCTATCTCAATTAGCGCAGTGGTGTTTATTGACATGCATTTGATCACTATAGATCAATAGGCATTATACATTACTATAGAGATATAGGTTTGATATATTCAAGGCTACGGTGTTCTCAGGTTTGCCCGGTAACATATTGATGTTTATAAATTACTCACTCATGTCCTACGTCTCTCTTAGTTAGTTTATATTACAGTACAGAATTAGTGAAAAGACGAAAATTTAATGGGAAATTACAACACTACGATTACACAACACTCGTTTCAATGATTTCTTTGAGAGTGAACGCAAACCCTCATTTAACTAATCGATACAATTTCAAGTACTCTGCACTTCAGGATCAGTAGCTTTGCTCTGCGAACAATGTTTAGCACAAATATATGCTGTCAAAAAACGTCGAAACCGGAACTACACTCAATAATATTGTGAAGGATTTCGAACTGCTCCAGTTGCTGCTTACTTGTGTCAACGAAGTATGAAAACGATGGAATCGATTGCGTCGTTAACAGTTTAAAATGCGATGGAAAGATTCACGTCTGGGATGGAATACTTTATTGGTCATAAGAATTCAGAGAAGAGAACTGGGACATATGATTGTGCGGAGGAAGTTTATGGCGATTTGAGTGGATCAATCAACTTTTCGAAGAATTGGAATCGTTCGACTTCTCGGTGGCTCTTTTACGTTTTTGGGTGTTTGAACGGTGAGCATTCCCTCTTTGGTCAACTCACTGGTGACATTCTCTGGTTTTGTGTTCTTCGGCAATCTGATGCGTCGAACGAAATGTCTCTCAATCTGAAGTCAAAAAACGACAAGTCAAATCGTTGCGGTTAAGCAGGAAACATCAGTGGAAAAAACCGTTGGTTTGGTGATATCTGCCTGCCTTCATGAGAAGAAGTTAACAGCGGATGAGGCTTTGGACAAAATCACTCACATCTCCGTATTTATCAGTTTTCACTTCGTGTTTTCCTTCAACAACCAACACGTTATCGTCGATGTTCACCTTCAGTTCTTCGGGTGCAAAATGCGATACATCGAAAGTGATTGAGAAATCAGTTTCGTTGTCGGTTATCTGAAAATGCTTTCTTTCAGATTATTGCAACCGAGTACACAGCGAAAAATCTACTTCAAACATATTCCCCCGAATGATTGGCAGCTTTCAATTAAAACACATTGAGAAATGTGTCGTGCAAATTAGAGCGGCTCTATCAATTCGAATAGAACTTTTTGTAAAACTTTTGACTTGTAAATGATGGATATGTTTTCTTCATTTAGCTAAAGCACCAAATATTCAAAATCAAATGAATAGTTCAGAACATTCATTATTAATTCAGATTTCAAATGGTGAATGCATCTGAAAATCATAAATGAACAAACAAGCTTTTTCCACCAATGACATTATGACATAATCAACCATGATTGTTTTCATGCGATCCCTAAAACAGTCAGTTAGCTAACAGAATTCAAAAGAAAATCTCACATCGCCAACGCCTTCACCGAATTTATGTGCATCGGCTAGCGTCTTCTCAGTCCAATATGGTCGCACAAAATGACGGTCGAAGTCCAAATCTCTGAAGTCATCGAAGAAACGGCTCGGAATACCGACTGGTGAGAAAGGTGGAAATCTGCGCGACATCACTTAAGGACGTTTGTTTTGTGCAATGAATGTGTTCTTCTTCCTCTGAAAACTTCAATGAATTCAATGTATACATTCAAACGTGAATGAGGTGTGTTTAACGAAACGAGTTGGAGAACGCATAAAAAGCAGCATGAATTGAACGAGAATGATTTGTTGAATAAACAACATTTTTCCTAATTGTAAGATCACTCGCTGAATGACCTTTTATTTGTAAAGTTGCATCCACATAATACTGTCATACTTCATATAATACTGTCATACATAATCATACTGTCATACTCAAATGCAAACTTCTCACAGAAAACATCAACGATAGATTAACTTTTGAACAGTCAGTGAACACGTAAGACGAACAATTAAGCATTCCTAGTATAGAACAGTTTCTTCGAGCAACTACTTTGCCGCACACTTGCAACTAGCACTTACCATCGAGATGTTCTTTAGCATTTTAACAGATTGCTCAATCCTCAAATTATTTTGAATAGATTGGAAACAGCCAACCCAAAAGCTGCTGATTATGAGCTCATCTGCAGAGGAGTGCAGACAAATTTTCATCAAATCAAACGAATACAACAATTCATTTGCAGAAACGTGATGTGGGTTACCTCTACCTAATTATTCCAAAAACTCCCTTGAGAGGATTGCTTTCGAAATGCGCAAATTTAGAGCAAGACAAGACTGCCTCCAAATGAGCTTTATGGAGATTAAGATGGAAGCATGCAATAGGAATCGTAGTGTGAACATTTAGATCAATGCATTCGTAACAAGTCAGTGTGTTTGATGAGTAATTTTTTGCCATTGAATGTGTTTCTTTCGAGAAATGAAATCAAATATCTTCAGTGGCAGAAACTGCGAAACAATAATGTCATCTTTTTTTTGACAATAAACGCACGTTGCCACGAATGTATCGCTCATACAGTGCACCAGCACAAAATTCTCACAACCACTACAATTCAGCTACTGTGAACATAAATTATTTCACCCAATTGATTGTGTTTCCATTGATTCAATTTATTCGAAACGATTACAATTCGGAATTGCTATTTGTATGGTGGTGGTACGCTTAGTTAGAGACCAAAAATAGCAATGATTTGGAATGTCGAATGGATGATTTAATGATGAATTACTGTTTTGTGTTGTATCAGTCAGGCGAACAAAATGCAGTTAGTCAGATGAAAGATGGAGACATTTCTATTCGACACACTTTGATGCCATTTTCAATGAAATTCAATTCTGTTCTGTTCGTTTAGTCACATTACACGTTCTCATTCTGAAGTGAAGCATTCCTTTCTCGGTTCAGTTTGTTGAAAGATCACTTTAGAAATTCATTTTCATGATAGAAACAAACAAGATTTTACTACTGGCAATAAATATTTGGGATCATAATAACGAGTTGAAGGTCTTCGATGAGGCAGACACAGACAATCAAGTCAAGATGCAACTAAATGGTATACGAATGGTATTAAATGAAGAAAAAATTGTAGAAATATGCAAAAATTCATCAAAAAATTGACTCTCGATTCAATTAGTATTACAAGAAAGAGGGTAATGAAAGATGAGCTTATATAGTGGCATGACGAACGGCATAACACAATTAGTCTGGTTCTCGATCAGTAATTCCAAGTAGATGTTGCGAATGGAGCACAGATGTGCAGTCATTTATCTACATTCATAATACTACTTACTCTCCTCAAGACATCTGCATACTTTGCTATGATATGTTTCAATGAAAAGCAACTGGATCAATTTCATTATCAAATGAGCAATCATATAAAAGAACCTCATCCAGTCTGCAATCGTATAAATGAATCCATCTATTTTGATGAAGTCATTGCTTGTTTGAATTTACAATCGATATTAAAGGATCGTCCAACGAGGCACATAACGAATGCTCAAAGTGTTTCCGCGAGAATGGAAGTTTTAGGACAGATTCAATGTTTAGAAATCAGAATTCAGCACTTCAGCATGGAGTGGTTTCAGAATAATTGAAAAAAAAACGATGAAGAACGCTCACAAAGCGATAAACTTATCAAATGCGGCAATTTTTTCGTTTGTGCTTGGTAGATTAGAGAGGATATTGAATGTTCCAACGTATGTTGGGAGATTCAGCGCTCTAAATGGTGGCTACAAAGCGATTGATTGACAATTTGAAATGGACAAAATTCAATTAGTTAAGCAATGCAGAAAGGACAATCATACCAGTTTTCAGTAAACAGCACCAGCCTGATTGATTCGTTGACACAAACAAACGATCATGACAATTCAATTCAATTACGTTTGCGCAATTTGATGAGCACCGTCGAAAATGTATTTGAAAACGGAACGGAACCCAAAATGAACTTGAATTCCAACAGAAAATACTATTTGATTATCATAGATAAACATTTTCGCTGAAAACCCTCAACTTTTCATCTTCTTCACCGTGCACTTTACACAGATAAGCTAATATATAAACGGAGTTGATAAAGTCCACCAATGGAGCTGAATAATTGCAAAAGCAAAACCAAACAAAAATTGCGAGAACGGTTTATCCCACCACGAAAAAAATTCGCTCTAAGTAAATATTTGCTCTAACTGGTGGATAAATTTTCGATTCTTTCCGTCTACTGCGATAAGTGCTTCTGATTTTTGAGTAGAGTAACTGTGCAATCTTCTGCATCCGCTCAAATGCTCTCGATATGTACGAACAAAATTTAATCCTCTTCAATCCCACTCACTTGTACTAATTCATTCTCTTCGCTCACCACATATGAATCAGTTACACACAAACCGGAAAATACAACTCGCGATTTTGCACTAATACACTGCAGCTGTTCCAATAATCCTACACAATCAATTAGCCGAAAGAACCATTTTCGATGCGAATCAAAGAACCGTTTTGATCACCCAATTGAGCTACTCCATACAATGAATCATAACGTTTTGCTCGATTCAATTTGGAATATGGAAAACATAAACACTTACAATACTTGTTAGGAAAGGAATTGGATGGTATCGCAATAGGATGGAATTGTAATGTAACTTAAGCATAAAACAACTCAATTGCTCATCAATTTGGGTGATGGAATTTTGCGAACTGATCTGCATTCAATTTTTGACAGCTCTGACACATGATCATGCACTTACAGCGCTTTCAAATCGCAATCTGTATCTGCAAAACGCTCTGGGAGCTTCGTTGATAAGCCCATCTCAAAGGAAGAATCCTGCGCTGAGAGAGATGAAACGAAAGGAAAATACCTAGAATAGCTCACTTCATAGCTGGCTCTACATCCTAATTAAGATGGCATTCCATGAACGCTATCCAACACCTGCATAGATAAATTGAACATTCTCGGATATTCGTTGCCATGGACTGATTTTGACAATGTTGCTGGATGAAAAAATTGAAAATAAGAGAGAATTATTGGTTGACAGAAGAGTTGGAAGCGGGAGTTATCGTAAGCAGGATGGCTTGAATAGACGATGGTATGATCCATGTGAACGTACTGTGCGCTTTATAAACACAA